TGTAGTCTTGAAGGCGTTTACCCACGTTTAAGATGTACTTGCTGCCCAGTTAAGTAACTAATCAGGTAAAGTGTTCCCTATATTGAGTAGCAAGTTACAGACTTCGTATGTGAAGTCTGAATTTTTCAGGGCAGTGAAGATGTCGGTCTTCTGTGTTATAATGCCATTTGAGTTTCTGGGTAGATGCTAACGTTTTGGAGAAACGTACTGCCTTCATTTTCATTTTCACTGGTCATCCTATCATTCGACGTTGTATAATCTGAGCAAAGCGTTAAACGAACAGAGAGTAAATAAGAAAAACAACAGTATGTGACGTCACATATCTCTTCTAGGTATCATTTATTGCTTTGAAGCAGTGATAAGTCGTTTAAATATGAAATATGTTGTTTTTTGATGGCTTAAACCGCAAATGCTTCCGCAGTGACGAAACAAGAGTGGATGTAACGACATGTGTCGCCCGCACGTCTTCTGAGTTAGGTCCTTCGGTACTTTAGCCTTCATTTCCTTCTATTTTTAATTTTTGGTATGACGTTCAGGGCAAAAATGACACAAATCAATCCGAATATTTGTTGCGGTTGTCAGGATTTCTCCTTCGTGCACTTCAGTTCGAATCTCTGCTAAGTAGACAGGCTAACTTGAGGTATTTCGTAGTTTTTCTTCAATCTACTAAATTCCAGATCAGTGCCTCAAAAATGTTCACCTCTACCTTCCACATCCTTTCCAATTCATGATTTATAAACGTGCTATATGATTCTATGCTGTATGACCGAACAGTTTCAAATATCGTTATAAAATAATCGAACAACCATTCGTTTGTCAAATTTCGTCGCGAACCACTGGTTGTTGAGCCTCTGTCGTAATGGTTAAAGTTGATCGAACTGGTTTGTGAACTTGGTATCTCTCCACACCCCCGCCATCCGGTCTCCTACTCGCAGATCGGGTTGAATTCCGCTTACTAAGACGTGTATCAATGGAACGAAGAATAAAAACAAATGACGATCCCGTGCGCATACATTTGTGACCTTGCCTTTGCCTAAGAGGCAATCTATATATATGCAGAGGTTTTCAAGTCTCCAGCTTAGTGTTAACGGCTATCCTCAAGATATGTGTCTTTATGTGTACTCACCATGTTGCTACCTTACAGTCTGATGTTTTTGATGTTCTGTTGTGTCATTTGCAAACGAGATCTGGCATCGGAACAATTGAACAACTACAAACTGTCAAACGTGAGTACATTGTTGTTACTGGTTTGAAATATTTTCAATTTATTTTATTATTTGCTATTCATTCTGTCGGGAATCGAAGACTTCACATAAGTTTTTAGTGCTGTAAACGAACATTTCTTGAAGAAACATTATTCTCATGTTCTCGTATGCTTTGCCATTGTCAGTAACATGAAGATTCGACTCACTTCTTGATAAATTATATATTTTTTTAGAAGTTATTGTCAATTTCCATGGAATTATTCGAATAAAACACGCTATTTTTTTAATTTAAAACATCAACGTGGAAAGAGTTAAATAACGCGTACATTTTGAAATATTTATATCAAACTTGAACAGGAAGAAATGCCGTTTGTTTCAAAATAGAAATTATTTCACTATTTGTTACGTCCCTGCTATAACTTGCCATTGTTTATAATATATACACTAGTTCAATCCAAGTATATACATTTTATTCGAACAGTTAGTGTGTTCACAGTGTCAATATATAAATGAAGAGACTGATTTACTCAATAGCTAATACTCTGTGGAAAGTTAGGTTAGGTTTGAGGCTAAAAAAGTGGATTTGTTTAGGAGCAGCGTGTTGAATTATAGCTTACGGAGACGTGTTGCTAGCCTCGTCTGTATATTAAAACCTATCACACATTCCGATGTAACAGACTAATTAACTTCGTGGTTTGGGGCCTTTCTTGATAAGTTTATAGTTACTGGTCAATAAATTCTCTACTTTTATGGGATCCGGAAGTTTATTACAGCAGCCATTAAAGCCCCCAATGAACCGTATACTAAGCCAATGAAATACGTGCCACACCCTCATATTCTAGTTCTCCAAGATCGATTTTAATATTAACCATCCAAAAAACGTATATTTCCAAGTATTCACGTATCCTATGGTTTCCAGATAAAAGCTGTGAAGGTCTTAATCATGTCTTTCTGATTCATTCTTTTGCTACATCTTACTACAATGTGTAGCGTTTCGTAACATTTTTACTGTTAGAGACATCTGTTGCAGGAATGTAGGACACGCGCGTGGTAATAGCGTCTGTGCTGATTCAGACGAAACTTAATAATGTGGAGAAACGTTATTGATTGAGAAAGTGAGAATAATTTAGTATCAAGCTACATTTTCCTTTGTCTACACAGCCGGGCGTGTGATATGAGGGTAAAACGCACGCAGAGACTTGACCACTTCCAACAATGAACGTAATTCCTGTTCTCTCGTAATCTTTCATTTTAATGTTGTCTCCAAAGTGTCTCATATCTCATAAATAAGACCTTTAGGCCCCAGATGCTAAAAGGTTTTTCTGTTCACTTTTTTAGCACGTTTAATGTCTGAAATTACTGAACGAATTCTGATTTAATTTGGTTTTGAATGGGAGATCTACTCAAAATATAAATACCACGGTTATCAAATACCTTATAAGAAGACGTCATTGTTAAATTATAAGGAAAATAACGCAAGACTGTGTATCGCTGTGTGTAGCGTGATTGTTTTTTTTTTTAAAGCAAGTACTTTGAAACAAATGAGCATCAAGGTCCGCTCGTGATTTAAAACCGCCAAGAAGTCATTTATTTTTGCTTGCATATAAATAAAGTGTATCTGATTTGTAACTGTCAGCAGTGTAGCGTTTTAGAAATATGTGTACGTGGTTACACATTTGCATACCGGTCACCTCAAAACGTTGTCGCCCGTTAAAATCAGGTCTGTTTCAATAGTCTAATGCCACATTAAAAAGCGATCAGCTTACTGTCGAAATAAATCAGGCATGCCGTGGATGTGGGAAGTTACGACGTTGCCATGACAACTTGGTCCGTCAGTATTGTTCTCGTGCCTGTTCTTGGTGTTGTTTTTAACTCATTTTTTTTAGTCGTTTGAATTGTTTTCTTGTTTCATCAGACGACGTGACTTAAAAACCTGCTCTTGTAATTGCGTTGTAGTGTCAGATCTAGAACCGACCACAGTGGCCGACCGGGACCGTGGGTTCGAATGCCGCCCAAGGCATTTATGTTCTTTCTTTGTCCCGAGCAGGTAGAGACCCTGAAACGGGCTGATCTCTCTGTTCAAGGAGTCCTACCGAATGTCAAACTAGCTCAAGATATCTCCCATACGTAAGACGTCCAGGGTTCTTCAAGGACTAGAGCCACGGATTAAGTAATGTTACGTCTCGCGCCTGCGCTGAACATGGATTATTATCTAACTTAATTATTACTGGATTAAAATGAAGTTCGTTTCCGGTTTCGTAATGAATATAATCAGATAGTTACGGAAAAACGCGCAACACTTTTTAATATCTTATGTATAATTTTATTTATATATACAATTGTGATTAGACAAAAAAAACACGAATAATTAAATTTTAATTCACAATATGACGCAATTATATCAACTTTTTAATATTTTTTATTTCTTGTTTGTAATTGTTTTGTATTGTGCGAAAAAGTTAGCTGAAAAAGTTGCATATTTATGTATTATCTGTAATAAAACAATTATAGCCTAAAAGACAAATTGTCCCTGGTGTTTAATTAAACATCACTCTATTCAGGCGTAAGACATATTGGAGATATAAGCTCCTAGCATCCTTAATCTCGGCATTATATGGGTGAGTGGTCAGCTTAATTCGTTCCTTAAAACTGGGTACAGGAATTATTGGGTTTAATGCAGTAGAGATTGCAATCGGTTCTTTAACGACGAAGTGTGACATCTTTACAGACTGGGAATTCCTACATTCAGACGGGATATGGCGTTCCTGTTCATAGTAAAGATGCTAGCCTGACTGTGGGACCACGCGGTCCTATGCTCCTGCAGGACGTCGAGTTCCTGGATGAGCTTGCTCACTTTGATCGGGAACGCATACCAGAGAGAGTGGTCCATGCTAAAGGAGCAGGTGTGTCCAGAATTTTGTGCTCGGTATGAAAGTATAATGAATTGCACTAACAGCTTAAAAGTAATGATGATAAGCTCACATAAAATTTTGTTGTGACGTCAGACTATTGATTACGAAACGTAGCTAATACTTGTTAACGTTCCGCGTTCTGTGCTGTCATCGTGTGTGTGTGTGACAGGTGCTCAGATCTCAGGTGGGATGATTATGAATCCATCACCAACGTTCATCTGCGCATAAACTTAACTGTAGCTGAAAGCAAGATACTAAAAAGATTTGGTACTCGTTGGTTATCGGGACACAAAACGGGAGAGTCAAATATCTGGACTTGGATTGGACGGAAAACTGCGCGTGCGTAGTAATTTGTCATTTATTAAAATAAAATATCATAACTTTCAAGTATATGTCATTTATCCACACACATTAACCTAACCTAACCTAACATAACTTAACCTAAGCTAACCTAACCTAACATAACTTAACCTAAGCTAACCTAACCTAACATAACTTAACCTAAGCTAACCTAACCTAACATAACTTAACCTAAGCTAACCTAACCTAACATAACCTAGCCTAACCTAACATAACATAACATAACCTAAGCTATTTTTAAAGCGATGTGTCCCGATAACCCACAAGTACTAAAGATTTTCTACATGTTATGTTTTTGTTTTTATTATTTCGTGTTATTGTAGGTGCATTTGGCTACTTTGAAGTGACAAATGATATCACTCGGTATACAAAATCCACTGTTTTCGAAACAATCGGCAAGCAGACTCCGATTGCCGTGCGATTCTCTACTGTTGCTGGTGAGAGTGGATCTTCTGATACAGTTAGGTGGGTGATACATGCGTTTAATTATACCTAACTAACGATTAATGAATGCGATGAGGCGAGTATTACATGACAGTCACATGACTTGATCTGGTTCATTGATTGTGTGTTGATATTTAAAATTTTACCAAATTTTAACAAACTTGTGTGCTGTAATGTAGATATAAAAGCTGTATAGAAATAATTTATGTTTCAGACTGTAATACTGAATGTTACTACTACTACTTCTTCTTCTCCTTCTTCTTCTTCTCCTCCTTCTTCTCCTCCTCCTTATTCTTCTCCTCCTCCTCCTCCTTCTCCTCCTTCTCCTCCTCCTTCTTCTCCTCCTCCTCCTCCTCCTTCTCCTTATTCTCCTTCTTATTCATCTCATTCTACTTATTCTTATTCTTCTTCTCCTTCTACTTCTTCTCCTTTGGTCCATGGACTTCTCAATTCTCCTCTTCCATTCGGTCCGTCTGTCCGACTGAATGTTACTTTCGTGATTTATTGTCTCTGCAGGGACCCTCGAGGATTTGCGATAAAATTCTACACCGATCATGGTGTGTGGGACCTAGTAGGGAACAACACGCCAATTTTCTTTGTGCGGGATGCGTTGTTGTTTAATCTGTTTATCCATTCACAGAAGAGGAACCCTGTCACACACCTCAAGGTAACTTCGCAAAACTATGTTTGGTGTTATAAATATAAATAAAAAAATTTATATTCTATAATCGTGTGGTACAATGACCTTTTCTTTTCTCTTTCTGTAATTCTTGTGGTGGCTAGGATGCTGATATGTTCTGGGACTTTATCTCCCTTCGCCCCGAAACCACGCACCAAGTGATGATCCTCTTCTCCGACCGGGGAATCCCGGACGGCTTCCGACACATGCATGGTTACGGATCTCACACGTTCAAGATGGTTAACGCTAGCAATGATGCTGTGTACGTCAAATTTCACTACAAGGTAGATACAAGAATTTGCGATGAGTGGTTTATTGATCGTAATTATTTTATTGTTATTCTTACGTATTTCCTGTTATTCTGGCATTTGTCGTATGAGCTCTCTGGCTGATACAGCGTTTTTAAATAATCTATACAAAAAAACTGAGTTATTTGCACTTGCTAACACAAAGTTAAACTTCAGTCTTCCACTCCAGTTTACGCAGATAATTAACGACTGTGATAAATGGACTGTAATTTCAAATTTATTATTGGCTGTAAAATTTACGTATCTTTTAATGTCTTTCAGTTATGACTTATTGTTCAGTTTTGTGTCTAATCAGCTGTGCTCGTGAACATTTGTTACGCGTTCACTGCATGAATTGCTTAAAATTGTTTTAGGAATTCTGAATCGACGTGTCCCATTTTGAAGTTACTCGGCAAATTCTGATGAAATTTGGTATTATTTGTAGATATTAAAGATTATTAGGCAAGTTTAATTCTTACTTTACATGAAGCTGAAAGATGATATTATCGATTTAATTTAAAAAAAACAGTTGATTTTACACAAAATTGGTACGAAACATAAAATGTTGATATCATTTCGATATATAATTAACGTTTGAAATTGTCTAATATTTCCCGTAATTTAACAAAGCACAATGAAAATATCTCTGAAATACGTAGAATTGTACAAAATAAATTTGGGCTGGAACTGATATTTATTTTCCCCGAGTTCAACATCGACGATAATAAACAAATATTTAGAGCAGCGAAGTGGAGATTCGTTTAGACGTAACGAAGTGGCGTTGTGTGCTGTTGTTTCTAGACAAATCAAGGTATCAAGAACTTATTTGCATCCGAAGCTGCAAATCTCTCAGCCACAGATCCAGACTACGCAATTCGCGATTTGTATAATGCCATCGCGAGGGGCGACTTCCCTAGTTGGACACTCTACATTCAGGTTATGACCTTCGAGGAAGCCGAGAGTTTCCGATGGAACCCCTTTGATGTGACCAAGGTGGGGCACTTTTTTTCAACTTACGTAATTACATTATTTCAACTGCTCTCTCTTGGATTAAAAAATATTTTTCCCTGCTCTCAGATACCCTGGATCAGATAGCAAGTTTATCGCCCACCCATAATTAAAATAATAGTTTTGTATTTTTAATTTTTAATGTTTTTTTTATTTTTATTGTTATTAATACTCTCAGTTTGTGCTAAGACTATGTGGAGTTACACCTCCACACTCTCCCATACATCCAAAAGTTTAAGTACCTGAAAATTTTTACCATTATTTTTGTTATTATTTATTGCTAGGTATGGCCTCACGCTGAATACCCACTGATACCCGTTGGGAAGTTGGTTTTGAACCGAAACCCCTTGAATTACTTTGCGGAAGTAGAGCAGATCGCTTTCAGTCCAGCGCACATGATCCCGGGCCTCGAACCCAGCCCGGACAAAATGCTGCAGGTACAGCGTACACGAGTATGAATATTCACGCACATAAAATCTGCATCATTAGTGTTTTATTACTCTTATATGTTCGTGTACTTGATTTTAATTACAATTATGTTTTAACTGTAGAATTTAAGTTACCCAAAAAGTTTCTAATAAAAATAATCTTTAAAATTACGTAACTTTTTTTTTTCAGAAGGGACTTAACTATGAAATTAATTATTGGTTGCATAATTTATTCTTCTTGTTACTTATAATTTACAGACGACTTCTTTCTAGAATGTTTACGTAAATCTAAAACTCAGGTTTCAAACCATCCACATTTTTATTTCTTCGTAATGTATCACTTTTTCAATAACTTCGTACTGTGCGCATGCGTTCACTAGGGCCGACTGTTTTCGTACGGCGACACGCAGCGCTACCGTCTTGGCCCCAACTATCTGCAACTTCCGGTAAACTGCCCATTCCAGACACACGTCATAAACTACCAGAGAGATGGACCACAAACAGTGCAACATCAAGGAGGGTCACCAAATTACTATCCCAACAGCTTCGAGGGCCCCGATAATGCACAAGGACTTCACAGACCGAAATTCTCCGTCTCCGGAGATGTTGGCAGGTAACATTTCATCAGCATCGCCTTCAACGATTGAAGTTTAAAGTTTTCTGGGACTGATTCAATACGACGTATACAAGTAATTACGTTGTTGGATGTTATCAATGATCTCGGTCGGGCCAGTGGATACCTTAAATAACATTCTTCGCAGTTTTCCTCAGTTTCTTCAAGGTAGGACCTTTTTTTTACTTTGAATACCTTATTTACTCGTGATCACTGTGACGTATCATTCAATGCCAGCGTTTTTATAAAAAAAATTTGCAGTCTAAAGGAAAAATCGTGTTAGAGAAGAGATATTTTGTCTTTGTGGCTGATGACTCCAGATTTATGATTTATGCGACCTTCATAAAGAAAAATAATTTAGGATAAAAACAAAATTTTCTCGTGCCTCGCCCCACGGACCTGAAGATGCAGGTATAACACTCCTCTAAAGCAATGGTATGCAACCTGTAAGACTACGCGGCATCACAGACCAGAAAACTGCGACTCCTCAAATGTTATGTATGTACTTCGGACAACGGGTGACGTCAAATGTTATTGTCCTGTAATGAATCGACCGTCGGCACAAACCTATTGAAATAGAGTAAAGTCTGTTGTTTCAGGTACAATTCCTCAGATGAAGACAATTTTAGTCAACCCACCCTGTTCTGGAGATACGTCTTGAAGTCCGACGAGAAAGACAGGTTGGTGGACAACATTGTGAGCCATCTTAAAAATGCTGCAGACTTTATACAGGTATTTGAGTGTCTCAGTTTCTTAATTTATAAATGTGTATTTGTATCTATTAATACTTTTTGAATTACTGTAAAGTTTTTTTTAGCAACTTCAAGAACTGAAACTTAAAATTAATATTAAATTTTAAAGTGCACATTTCTGTTCTTCATTATATTTTTTTTATAACCGATATAAAAATGGTTTTATACATTAATATACATGACTGATATGGATTTCTGATATCAAGTAGCAAAATCTCTTTGCTTCTCATAAAAATGAGACAATATTTTTAAATTCTATGTATGTATGTAATCACGACAGACATTTACCTTGTCTAATAAAATCTACACCCATAGGATTTACTTGCACCCCCCCCCCCCCCCCCCCATTTAATCTCTCTTAGGTCTGAATGTTTTACTGAGCAATTTGTTTTCAAGCTCTTATAATTAATATTCTTGTTTCATTGTAAAAGACTGCGTTTCACAATCATCAAATACACACATAAAATAGTAAAAATTAATGTCCACTCTTCATCGAGGAAACATTTCTCTTTTTTCATCAAAATCTTATTTTTGTTGCAGAATCGAACAGTGAACATGTTCAGTCAGGTGGATTCAAATTTTGGAATTAAATTGGACAAAGGTCTAATGAAATACAAAAACATACCCTGATGGATCGACGCAGCGCCACGTTAGCGGAGAGCGTGTGATCTGGAAATCTGAGTTGGCTCCGGCGCAAGTCAGTTCACACGTAACCTTAATTTTCCTTTCATCTTATTTTACGTACGTCATCATTGCTTTATAATTCATTAACCATGTACTATTAATCGACTAATTGGTCAATTTGAGCAAATAAACTAATTCCATAGAGCAGTCCTTCATGAAAAGCTGATAGTCATTGAGTCAGTCAAAAAATACCCACCTGTCATGAAACATATCTCGAGCAACATTAATCCAGTCCGTACCTTCACATGGATCCAGCTTGCCACTAATCCATCGAACCCGAAGCTAAAGTCCAGCTGGCAGCCGCATAATATGGGGTGTAAATCCCTTATTCCCATGTGATAAATGTTAAGATTTATGTCTTCGCCACTAATTTCTTTTAATTCATTTGGATGATTCTTTCGCTAATGTGGGGTCCACGGTGGCCGCACGGTCTGAGACGTGGGCCATGTGCCGCTTGGTCGCTGGGACCTTGGGTTCGAATCCCACTCAAGCCATGGATGTTTGTCCGAGTCTTTCTGTGTTGTGCTGTCCTGTGTACAGGTAGAGGCCTTGCGACGGGCCGATCCCTCATCTAAGGAGTCCTACCGAATGTCTATACATCAAACCACCGAAAAGTTGGGACCCGCAGTGCCCACGCACTAGAGGAAGGTGTCGATCCCAGTATCCCACTCCCAGTTTCGCTAATGTAATCTAATGGTCCCATTCTCCAGCAAAGGGGCTTTGCTTCTGACTGTTGTGCACGCAGGTTATCTACCCCACAGGGAAAGTTACAGACAGAAAAAACAAACATGGATGAGCCATTAAGATGTTCTTAATTGACCTTAGAATTATGTAGTAAAGTGCCTTATAATAAGTTGAGTCGGACAGTGAATCAGTTAACCATAACATCGCTTAATTTAAACCAGAATGTTTAGGGTAGATACTTTAAAAGATTAAGAAAGAACGTGAATGATCTGTCATATTTATTTCACCTGTTTTTAATATGTAAGAAGCTAAGATCTGCCACCGGTAGTGACTCACCTCTCCAATGTGTAGATCAGTTATTGTCAATTGTTTATGATGATTTCTCTTGCAGAGGAAATCTTTAGTGGGTAGAATTTTCTTTTTCTGGTGAACATTTATTAACCCCTGTAGTGTGCATTTTATGAAAATTATATGAAGCAATAAGAGAGCTAGAACCTGGATCATGAATTACATACACAGCTTTATAATAGTATAATAATATAGTTTAGACGCTGAATAATATTGTAGTGTGCAGTCATTTATGAAAGTGTGAGACACGCCCATTTAATTTTTTTAATTAAACAGAACCACGTGAGCACTTGGACACTCCTGGTTTGCATCGTGAACCGAATCTCTTGAGAGAACGCAGCGCGATGTAATTAGAACAATTATACGGGTGTTTCATTTTCATAAAGTTAATGTAGCGGGTAATGTGCAACGTTCTCTGCGTCTCAAAAGGACCCAAAAGAATTGCCGCTATTTTCTGCATATCTGCTGAGGCCTTCAGACAGTTTGTATCCGAACTCAGCGTCAACTTGGCTGAACATTTTCACCGTCCGATCCTGTAAACAATAAATCATGAGGAATAAGATAAATCATATGACTTAATTCAAGAACATGAAATGATCTGGTTGAATCTGTCACTGAATCCAAACTGGCTTTAGGACTCGGCCAGTTTTTTAATGATTACTAAGTTTATCTGCGGGGTACATATGACACCAGCCATGAACATTTGGTGTGCACATTATGCCACTGGCGAGTACTACAAACTCATAAATTCTAAATTTGTACTTTCGATAATACGGAAAAGAGAGCTGCTTGAATTTGTGAGATGGAATGATGGTTATGCCACTGCAATCGATACAGTGCTACGGCCTTTCCAGGATTTGTGTGCGAAAGACTCCGTAAAACATCTTTCCTGAGGGAAACAATGTAGGAGCTGGTGGAGCGAGCCACTGTGGTCGCGCGTTGAAACGGACCTGTATGAAATCAGCGGCGTCCTTCAGGGTGTCTGCGATGTTCTGCGCCAAGCGATCTCTTTCATCTGGCTTCAGAACATTCCTCCAAAATAGAGTTGGCTGACTGAAATTGTCTTCATCCCCAGAGTTGTATCTGCAAGAAAATGAGAAGTTCTAGAGAGAATACGCAATTAAATTTATTTAATCCGCAGCTACGTCAAATGTGTAGAATGTAGTGAACGTGAACGTACCAGTCTGCAGTTAGAATACTAAAATGTTCTGTATAAAGGGAATTTAAAATAAAATGCAAGATAAATGAAAAATAATGAGAGAAAGGAATACAAATAATTGTATCTGCAGTATAACAAGGATTTTGAGTAAGAATTCAATTACTTTCAGACGTCGTAACAATTTTGCTGTGATTTAAATGTGGTATAGTGGAATAACTGGTGTCCCCAAAATTTAAATTGTGATTGGAGGTTTCTGTGTATCAGACTTGGGGTCATCTACCTGGCAACGTCTCCTGTGACATTGAATGTGGATATGACAGCAGTCGGGTCGTTCTTCGGTCCGTGGAAACTGTTGGGGAAGTAATTGGGTGCTCCACCCTGATTGTCTGTGTAAGTTTGTGGTCCATCACGTTGAAAATTTGTTATCTGTGAGCGGAATGGTTTGTTCACAGGAAACTGCAGATAATTGGTCCCGAGACGGTACCTCTGGGTGTCCGAGTAAGCGAACAAGCGGCCCTGCGCGAAGAGGATATGAAAATATATTTTTTGAGTATTTAAATTAAATTTTTGCACTGTTATACCATACATGTGACTACACGGATGAAAATAGAGGCAGACACTGCAGTAAGGAACCAGTGCTATTGCTACTCACATGCAACATTTTGTCAGGGCTGGGTTCGATTCCAGGGATCATATGGGCCGGACTGAAGCCAATCTGCTCTACTTCAGCAAAGTAGTTTGAAGGATTCTGATTCAATACAATTTTACCCACTGGAATCAAAGGGAAGTCCTCTTGAGGCCAAACCTGTACGCAGTTCAATGTGACGTCAACACAGTTTGTACGTTCGACTGGAGATAAGACAATACAAAGTTCAGACATTCCTGACAAGAAGGCCAGCAAATTGCAAATATCTTAAATCAAAATTCTAAGAAAAATACTTGGACATGAAAGAGACTACTTAATTAAATGTTTAGCGGGACTAAAGCAGCGCTTGTAAGGACCATTCAACTCCCTTCTATCAAGCGTCAAGTTCTGAAATACGTGGAATTTTATCTCTGTCTTCATGTTATTTAAATAGGAACTTACGATGGTACAAAAAGTGACCAAATAATAAGTTAGAAAGTGCGGAAGACATCTTGGAAAGCGGCTATATGAAAACTGAAATGGAAGTTGGATTCCTGGAAACAGGTTGAAATAATGTGAATTGGATCGAGGTGCCTCAGCACTGATATTGGCAGCGTCGGACATTCTACTGCAAGGTAGTTTTTTTTAGTTAAATACCTTAGTTAGGTCAAAAGGGTTCCACTGGAAATGCTCGGCTTCTTTGAAAGTCATGACTTGGATGTAAAGGGACCACGTGGGGAAATCCCCGCGTGAAATGGCGTTGTACAGGTCACGGATGGCATAGTCCGGATCTGTGCCGGAGATGTTGGCCGCTTTGGCAGGAGATAGGTTTCTGATGCCCTGATCTGTCTGTGAACAAAGAATGTTCAAACGAATTCTTCATTGATGTCACGTGCCGTGAAAAATATGGAATTTATTAAGGTTGGTAACTTGTGTGTGTGTGTGTGGAGTACATTGACGTACAATAACGAGGCAAGAGAAAATATGAAATGGGTGTTGCACCTTGTAGTGAAACTTGACATACACAGCTTCGTGTCGGTGGTTCACCATCTTGAAGGTATGGGAGCCAAAGCCATGCATGTAGCGGTATCCGTCCGGTATGCCTCGATCTGAGAATGTGATCATTGTCTGGTGGGTCGTCTCTGGGCGTAGGGAGATGAAATCCCAGAACATGTTGGCATCCTACAACATTTCCAACATCTTATTGATGATGTTACTTTTTATTCTGTTTCTCCAATGCGAGAACCAGTTAGCATCTTAGATATTAGATTCTCTTGAAGTGGTGGAAATATTTGCAGATTCGTGTCGATATGAACGGTGGACATATTTGACCATATTTTATGTCAAAACTCCAATGTTGCATATGGTTTTATAGAAACATAGGGCATCGTGCCAGAAGGGCATATCAGCAAGATTACTGATTTACAGGAGACTGAACTTTTATGATTATTTTATATGACAAATATACTTCCAAATTTAAGTGTTTGTATTTTGTGATATGCCCTTCTGGCATGACGTACATTCTACTATTTTACGTTGTTAGCCAAAAATCTCGGACTACGCAGATATATTAACACGCCTTTCTGTTGTGATGATCTTTGAAATGAATTCATAGTGTATGAAATATAAAGGTAAACTTTTACATTACCTTGAGATTTGTCGCAGGATTTCTTTTCTGAGAGTGGATGAATAACGGGAACAAAATGGGGTCCCGGATGAAGAAAATGGGAGTGTTATTCCCCACGAGATCCCAGATCCCATCTTCTGTATAGAACTTTATGGAAAATCCACGGGGATCTCTGTAGCAATCATAAAATATTGTCCTGAAGAGTTATCAGATCGAGAGCGTTAAATATTCTGCAGTGTCTTGCATACAAAACAAATACTGAAACCACTTGCCTGCAAAGGTTTTCCTCGGTGCCTTCATGTAAATGTTGAAAAGTCTTCTTCCAAATCTTGACTGTCATGCTACGTAACCCATTCAGTTTAATTTTTGTTTTTGTTGTTGAATAACATAAGAGTAATAATATGAGAAATTTCGTGACGTACCTGGTCGTATCAGCAGACCCCGTTTCACCAGTAACAAATGAGAAACGAACTGCAATTGGTGTTTTCTTCCCAACCTCCGAGAATACCACAGCCTTGGTGTATTGTGTGATGTCATGTGTTACTTCAAAGTAACCGAATGCACCTGTGAAGTAACAAACTGCTTCGTATGCACGCGGCAAAGAAATATTTGTTAACTGTCTGCTTTCATATATTTTTCATGAAAAATTGCCACACAAATGACATTTGCATGTCTACAACATTCACGTGAAAGATGATTTATTAAAGAATTATCTTGGCTTATTTAACAACACACAACCTCATATCCGATGGACACAAGGCTCCTTTCATTCGGTGGAGCTTACTTACTTCTCACCTCCATTTAGTGCCAAGGTTAAGAATGCGTAGAGTTACACCTCCACTCCTCCATACGTCTGCATTTCGTGGTGCTTAGTTAAGCACCAGAGACATCATCACCTGCGATGACATGTATCCATCACTTGTCCCCAAAGCCTACACCCTGAATTTACCTGCCCCTTTCGCGTGGACCACCCTCTCTGGAATACGTTCTCGGTCAAAGTGCGCCATTGTGTCCAGGAACACGACGTCCTGCAGAAGGACGGGACCGTGGTAGCCAACCGTCAAAGTGGCGGCTATGTTATCTACTGGCACTCCGTAACCGGTCACCACTCTGTTGACATCATGCTGAAACAGTAGAATTATGCAAGGCTGCACTTGAGAGCGATACTCGTGCAAATATTCAGTCCGTACCGCGAAGTAAACACAACTCTTCACCATTACAAACATCAACTGGTTAACCCAGATTAAGGAGATAATCGCTGTTTATAATTAGAATTATATGAAACACATACATACTCTGAGTCGAAGAGCCGAAGAGAGAGAGAGAGGAAATTGGTGGGGGGAGAAGTGAGAGCCACTTCGATATCTGGGGGGGAGAAAGAGCATCTTATAGCTAGAAGGTCCCCAGGCAATGCCCGCTCGTCCTTCTGTTAAGGATAAAGTAAGAGTGAAGGCGTTAGTGTGATGATTGGCATAAAAGACGGAATTTTGAAATTTTGTATTAGAGAAAGCTGAGGCTATTAATTTGGAAGTTTAATACATAATTTATAAGTTCCTACTGAGGGGAGGGGGGTAAATTTTGAGTAATTTAAATCGGGAGGGCTACATGAGAAGCTTGCAGTGGGAACTTGGGAACCATCTCAGCATTTGCTTGAAGACAGAGGAAAACCTGTGTCGAGATGGTTGAGAGCGAAACTCGTGCAAATTGTGTTTTAAGAATTCAGCCCGTACCGCGAAGAAAACACAACGCTTCACCATTACGAAGATCAACTGGTTAACGCTGTTTAAGGAAATAATCTCTGTTTATTATGGGAATCTTACGAAACCCGTAAATACAAAATGAAATCATTGATTGTTAAAGCGGGTGGAACAGATTGCGTCTATTCTTCCACATCAACTGCAGTTGCTTGCGACATATGGTAAGTTTAAGGAGATGTCCTACGTTTCTTGAGGCTGCTTGTAGCTTCTATATTTTCATGAAACCTCAGCTGTCTGTCCTATGTCTCTCTTCTCCCGCCACCTTCAAGTGCGAAGTTGAATTAATGCGGGTGAAAGGCGTATCTAAACACTTAACAATAAATAGCAAAAAAAAAAGAAAATATCCACTCAGTGACCCAGATTCTCTGAATCGAATTTTGTATAAGCGCTGTTTCCCTCAGAACAGGCAAATGACAGTACAGATACAAAGCCCCTAACCTAGTATCGAGGGTATGATAACGTGCTGCATGGTCAGGGTTATCATCGCACACCACGGTGATTTAAGAGTTACGGAGCAGTGGTAGAATTTTGATTAGAAAGGAAACGAGAGAAAAAAAAATAACAACAAAATAAACACGAAGATAAACCTGCGCCAATGTTACTTCGAAATGAAACTCACTTCAAGTCAACATTCCTGTGATCGGCCTTGGTTTAGGCATTTAATGATTCTTTCACTGGTAATATCATGTTTTATTACGGTATCTAAATTCCCAGTTAGTAAAATAGGTTTCTAAACTACAACTAAGGCTTATGTACGTGGTCTTATTTCTAGGATAACATTAAAATGGGTGGTTAGGAAATATTGAGGATTGGATTTATCTGACTCAGGATAGGAACCTGTGGCGGGCACTTATGAATACGGCAATAAACCTCCAGTTTCCATAAAGGAGTTGAATTTCTTGGCTGACTGAGATTACCATTTGCTTCTCAAGAAGGACTTCACTCCATGGAATTAGTTTGTATATTACCTTATTGTTTAGGTTGAATATTGTTCCTTTTTCCTTAATGTCATCAGTTATTGTTTAGTATGTTTTATTATATTCCGAAGCACTCTATCCGGTAGTGTTTCTTGTAATCGACATGCTGTGGCGTGAATTTAGAAGAACCACGGATTTCTGCGTTAAAATTCGTTTTGACACATTAAAAAAAATAATTGGTCCCTTCACAAGCTTTGAAGTTGATAAAGACTATTAATCTAAGAACCAATAATTTTATAACTCACGTGTGAATTCTTGTAGTCAATCAGTTGATTAGCAACTGGTTCATTAGTCGATGCTTCACTAAAAGCGAAGACGAAAATAAGGCAGTACATCCAATCGGTATCCATCTTGTATCCACGTTACTAGCAGCACTGGCCTCTTGGAATGGGCAGTGACTAAGCTTTTATACCGTCACGTTTTTTGGTGGATTTCTTTTCAGTGCGAGCTGTCTAGGAGTTGAGACTTTTCTTACACTGAATACCCGCTTTCTTTTATCATTCCTTGGCTCTAAACCTGTCTGATTAGCTTCAAGTCGTGCTAACTCTACCGGTTCAATGATTCCAGTTAATGATTGTCTCATTGTCATAGTAAACAATTGATTAAAGTTACGCGTATCTACTATTTTTCATATGTTTTCAAGTGACAGTGTTTCAAAGAGTAAATTAATAAAATGATAAAATAGAACAATTATTACAATTTATTTTAATAACTGATGTGGCCTAATACAATTTCATTGCAGTATCCGCGTAGATTAACGTAGTAACTAAAGACAAAGCAAGAGATAACAAAGATATAAAGTATATTATTTTATTGTAAATACATAATTATACTTTAGGAAGTTATATGTAAGAGTATTTGACGTAACTAAGATATGAAATAGCTGATATGATGCGATCTGCATAAGCCAATGGCGAGAAAGTTTAGGTTTGTAAAGGGGAGACATTTTCACAGATTCTCTGCTCATCTGTGATAGCAAAGAACGTCAGAGTCCTCTGGTTTCACGATAATCATTCAGAACATAGACCATGCTCGTATTGTCTGTGTCGTAAAGTGTGGATGGACGTTGTGGTCTGTATGTAAGAAGAAAGAAACGTGCTTGTTAGATTAAAGTATTGTATTTTGTTTTGTAGTGTTTTAAATACATTACACTGAAGATTGTCAATAATGAAAACTCCTAACTCAAGTGAAAGTGATATGGGTAAGATCATATGTTACATTTAATATATAATAGTGACCTTAACCTTACTTCACGGTAGAATGTACATTTTTAGGTATACGTTTAGCTTACATATAAATATTTACTTGCATTTTTTTCTGCTGTTTATCCGCAGCTGCACAAAGGAGAGGTGGAATAACTGAAGTAGTAACACCAGAGTCTGATTGTCTACACAGTAATGCAGGCGTGTCTGGTGTAATGACACGGTCACGATTAAAACGGCTGTCACAAAGTAATACCAAGGAAGTGTGTGAAAATACAAAAAAATCATTTAGAACTCCATCAAGATCAGGAAATTCTGCTACTACATGTCGTGTTCTATTGAAATCTCTTACAGAATCCCCAGAAAAGTCAGTCACACCAAAATCTACATCAAGCAGAATTTCACGAAGGAGTATTTTGTTAGACGCTAAGAATGCATCTTCATCTGGGGAAAATTCTCTTGTCCAAGTAAGAAGGAGTACCAGAAAATACAAGTCATTAAAGTCAGATAATGATTGTGAGCAGCATGTTACTAATGCAGGTGGATCAGTTAATATTGCATTGTATAATGCAGTGGAGAAACAAGACAGTCATGTCACAATAACAATCAGTGGTTTATGCAGCAACCTAAAATCAGTTGTATTGATAAATGATTCTGTTAAAAATGGAACAAAGGAATCAGATGACACTGATTCTAAAATAAATAGTTCATTGAGCGGAACAGAAACATTAGATGGTTCATTGATATTGTCTTCTAATTGTGAGATGTCTCCAAACTACTCACAGAAACAAAAGATGATAAAGAAATCAAGAACAAGTAAATCACAGTCAAATAAAAATGAAAGGAATTTATCAGCAGTATCAGAACCTAATACTGAATTAGAAAATGAAATGGATGTGGTGAAATCACCCCAGAAATTTAACAGGCATAATACTTATGAGA